TACAGGGTTCAGCTCTTTTCCTTTTACCCCAAACCTGTTGCTATGCAAAAAACAGTTTCAAAAGGTGTAGTGTTGATGCACCAAGCCAGAATGCACCAAGCCAGAATGCATCTACTACAGCTTATTCAACTGGGTTCCACACCTCACTTCTTAAGCATTCCCACTAGATGAGCAAGGTCCATCTCACCAGCAGGCAGCACCGCTCTGTGTCACTAACAAGTCTGAGAACAGTGGATATATTTAACTTCACGTATTTATTAACACCTACTTCCCCTTCCCCCATACAACTTGCAGCTTTGATATACAAGATACCAAGCTCCTTCCACAGAAGGCTGATAGACCTTTCAGGGTAAAAAGCACCTCACAATTTTCTAATAAGGAGACTCATACCTGAGTTGTGACTCAAGTTGGGCCTTTCACATTATATCTGAAAGTTATCCATTCTCCAGTTGTCTCGGCCAAAGAATAAATTGCTACCAGGGACTTGTATTTACCCATACCATAGTTTTCATTTTGCCTTTTGAGATTATAATGAGCATGGGCCAAGGGCCATCTTCCCTTTTTATATCATCATCAAGTACTATGCTGACATTTAATAGCAGTATCAAACAAGGCAGTTTGGGCTCCATATTTCATTTAAATTACAGATAAGATGGATATCACTGTAACATAACACTGTACAAATCATATGAGATATCATTTACTTTTAACAGACAAGGCTGTCAATTTAAAAGAGAGATTCTATAGAAGTTGGGCAGATTTATTGACTTACACCAGCAAAAAAATAAGGTAAACAGTTAAATGTATCATTACATCCAAACAAGCGCTCCTATATGTCATGGGAGGCCTCTGTCAGAAGCAAAATCTCTAGCCAGGGACTGATAAGCCTTTTTTCATTTTGGTATTTAGTATTCAGGTCAAATACACATTCCCAACTGTGGTTTACATAAATAGCACCTGCCAGAGCCTCTGAACACAATCCTTTATTACACCTACCGGAACAACAGTGCCAGCTTCTGTTCCAGCATCACCTCTAGCTTCTGGGCCTGCTTGGATAGCCAGTGATCCACACCATGAAGCCGGTAACACATCTCCAGCATCACCCGGAAGTCAGCCACAAAATCCGTTATCCCTGTGTACTGCCCACTGGAAAATTTCTCTTCCATCTTCAGTAGCCACATTCCAGCTGATGACTGCTGAAAGGAGCGACTGCTATCATAACCTGACTGCGATGCACCTCCTCCTTCATTCCTGATGGATCACTGATCTGCGAGTGGCTTCAGGAAAGGTGCTGTCAGTGGACGATACTTCTCCAGAAGAAACTCGCACAGTATGAGGTACCCTTGCTGCAACTCCGGACTTAGATTCTGTTCCCAGGGACAGCCGCTGTTCTTGCCTCCCATATCATCATCATTATCCTCATCCTGCTGATGATCCTCCTCCCTCTCTGGTGGGCCGCTGGCTAGGCCTGGATCCTTTGAAACCGCTCTGTCTGGAGCAACGGGCGGCAGCTTCCCCACAGCCCCCTTGGGCTGTGCCAGGTCCATTTCTCTCACCCCGGGTACGCATGCACACATACTGTACCGCTCCTGAAGGGGGCACTCAGCCCAGGAATTAAGCTCTTCAGCATCGGCTAAAGACCTCTGTACTCCTCCTCTCACCAAGCCGAGGAACCGAGATCGAGTTCACCTATGTACATAAGTCAAGCTCTCAGCACGCTCCCTCTGACGTCCTCACCCCTACCCTAAAGTGGGAAGAGGCACATTAACTTCTCTGAAGCAACAGGAGAGTAGGCGGCCATGGCTACTGAGTGACCCGTCCCTCCTCAGCGCTAGTGCAAGCTTCCTTACCCGGGGTCTGTCCCGGTCCGAGTCAGCCACGTAAAATGGGCTCGACTGAACCTTCACACAGCTCTACCTGCACACCTCCTCCCATTGGCACTGAGTGAAGGCTACTGCTTCTGCTGTGCCTACTCCGGAAGTAGCTCCCTGTCCCTTGTTCTCAGGTACCGCCCTCTTCTACGGGGCATTCTAGCGTTATCACCCCACCCCCACCCGTTCCTTCTCAGGAGAGGGACGAAGAAGGCACCACTTGGCGTTCAATCCAGCTCCTCTGGCTTCTTACGCTACCTGCAGCAGGCAAGAGGACCCCGCCAGCTGCTTCCTGCCATCCAGAAACTGCCCCTGCTTGCATGTGTCATCCCTTCCCCATGATGTGGCCACTACCCTTGCTGATTCCTCACCCAACGGAAGCCTCCTTCAATCACCCACCTCGGAACGGGCATCTCCTCAGAAAAGGAAGGTGAGTCAGGCTGCAGGGCCTTTAGTGCACAACAGCAACAACAGAAACGACAGCAAGCACCGCCTTCTCGCGCACAGCCCCCAGCTGGCCTCTGTTTACGTTCCGGACAGTTCTCCTCCTCACATCACAACACAACACAATGGAGTCAGGCTTTCTGCTGTGGGACATAACTGTTACCGAAGCTAGCAATGCTGTCAGTTAATAGCACAGCAAGGGCAGGTTAATAGAAGAGAGCAGGGACTTGGTCCTCTGTGAGGCCTAGAAAAGGAGCGAAAGAAACAAGTTTCCTCACCTAGTACGCATGCGCCTAAGTAGAGACTATAGCCAGTAAGGCAGCACGCCGGTTATTTTGGACACCAGCTGAGTTGGCATCATCAGAAAGCGACTCGGTTAGAAAAAGTATGTGAGATGTAGGACGCTTGCACCTCCTCATGGTATGCGTTTGGTATGCCCGTTGAGGCGAATTTGAGGGAGGGTGGGGGGATTAAGGGTGTGGAACTTTGGCACCAGGTACCTGATAGTAGACCTGCTTGCAGGTGTGCAATTTTCATCTGTCTTAACCCCCATGTATATACTAGCACGAAGATCGTGTTACAAGCCCAGTGAAGCCATACAACCATAAATATGAATGAACGTACCTTTATCCTTCAAACTTTAACTGCAGTGTGTACTAGTTTGTACTGAAACTAAATCCATGCTAGACACAATTATCAATGTGTCATCTGCAAATGTACATCAGACTTACAAAAGAGCCTTTGCTCTTACATTACAGATAGAGATTTCCTCTAAAGACATATATTTTTTACCAAATATTAAAGGTTTTTGTCCAACTGGTTCTGCAGTTACGGTGAATGAGTTTGTAAAAATTGCTCATAAGTATTAAAGTATTTCTCTTTGAATTGTTACTATTATTTGTATGGGTCAGCTGAGAATTAGTTACAGCCAGAGGGGCTGTAAAATGTTCAGTAGAAGTATTCAATCTCTGTAAAATCAGGGCACTTACTGAAACTTGGTTTGGAGATATTTAAAACATTTCTATAGTTTGCCTTAACTTGACATAGTGTACCCTTCACCTTAACTCTCAAACAGGAATCAATATTATTAAACCAGGAATAAACATCTAATGATTACAAATTGTTTTGCACCAGATGGTGCTGGTCCATTATGATCCCAGTAAGAAAGGCACTCAGACTCTGTAAGGTATTGTTTAAAATGCTATTTATAAGAGCTAGCACTATAAGGAGAGAATAGTATAGATAATATTACATCCCTTTGGATGCTGGTAACTGTTATGAAAATTCCCTTCCCTATTATATCAATCAGTCTTTATAGTATGAAAGTGTATTAACATTGTTAATATATATTAGTTCACATTATACACTGTAATGTAATGAAGTAGTGGAATTTTACCGGAGACTTTGGTATTGCTCATGTTTAAGTAAAACAGACTAAAGGACAGCCTGGCCCTGGAAATAAGGACTTTGCTTCTTGGAAGCTTAGAGCTGTCCGTGAAGGATAAAGGATACCCCTGGACAACCAAGGTAACACCAGCATCCTAGCCCCTCTAACATGTCTCTGAAACCCTCCCAGCATCGTCTGGCATCATAGATAAGTAAATAAGGCAAGACAATAGACAAGCAGCAAGAATGCTGCAGAAATCTAGTTGCTTTGCAAAGTTTTACTATGATTAGTAATCAGTAGTGTGGGTGTTAGTGATTAGTCAAATTGTGTTGTACCTGAATGTTTGAAGGGTATAAGAACCCTGTGTAAAACCACATTCAGGGTGCCCCAATTTGGCTGGGACACCTCATGCACGTGAATAAATGTTTACCCTTGTAATTCTATACTTTGCATCCTAGCCTCTCTCCTCAGTCGGCATGGGCCAGTTGCAAATTTTTGTAACAGTTTGGTGACCCAGATAGGACATACTCGACTTGCCTGATCCAATGTCTCACTACCACCCGGATCCCAATGATCTGCACTGCCAGCTTGTAAGTGTGTTCACCTCGAGATACTCGTGCATGGGAATAGCAAAACGTGGATCTTGTTTGATGGTAAGGAGGTGATTTTTTTTGCAATAATGGGAGGCTGACAAAGTATAGTTAGGAGGTCATCGGTAGATGAATTGTTGCAAAAATGTATTGATGGGATGGCCAGGTCGTCAAAAGCCCGAGCCCTGTGTCGGGAAATTTGTCCAGAAGTGATGCGTACCAAATGCGGCCATAGTCTGTTTCTTTTGATGATATTAAGCTGAGCTATTTATGCTTGGAGGACTGGTTCCCATCAGAAATGGACTGCTGATATATCTGGGATAATTACTGGACTATTGGTATATCAGGTATCAAAAAACAACAACAAAAAATTCCCCTCCGGAGCAGAGAATAAGTAAAGATCTCTGAACGAATGGGAAAAATAAGAGCTCTTAACATTCCAGAATTTATAGATATCAGAGAGAAGTTTCCTCTTCGGGGGGGAAACTGAGTAAAATCTCTGTCTGAATGGGAAAATGAGGGACATCCCACATTCAGCTCCATATGCCTATCCTACTACTCTTTTTTTTTTTTTTTTCTCCTGCTTTTACTCTGGTCTCTGCTCCAGCTATTACTACTGCTTCTGGTTTGCAAGCACCTCTCCAACAAAAATTATACAGCCGGGAGTGGAAACAGGTAAGCTTTCTGTGGGAACAGTCCACGTGCCATTTGCACCCGCTGGTTTGGTTTTGGGGCAATAACAAATTCCTAGACTATGGGAGGGTACAGAGAAGGTGATGCAAACTATATGCGGTATCTTCTGTGGTTATAACCCTACATGGGCTGACATGCAGCAAGTATTTGAGAATCTTTACTCCTGATGAAAGAATTAAAATCTGGGAAACAAATCACAGATCAGCCGGGAAAGCATAGAGCAGAACCCCATGGCCAACCAAAGACCCAGGTGTCCTGGTTTCATCAGGGATAGAGTTAATTTTTTTCGTAGTAGCTGGTATAGTGCTGTGTTTTGGA